TATGGCGCCCCTGGTGCCTAGTGGTCCGCTATTCTACCTTTCCGAGCACCCCTACTCACTCTCCTACTCAGTTTTCTACGTCCTCACCCTACGACTGCCAACAATCGACTGACGTCTCTTACCGGGTTTTTCAGTCATCATGACCATGCCACTGTGCCCTTTGACCCACGACCCTGACACCTTGAGGCTAATTGGTCAATCTAATCACATGGTCCACTATTCTTATTTGCTTGCGACTCTGCTGGCTTGGCTTAGCCTACTCCTGGTCCGGTTAAGTACAATGGAGGGCTAGAGATGCGCACGAGAGCTCATTTGCATAATTGCTCGCGACTTGGCGAGTATCTACCCCAATTGTCCGCTCGTGTTATTGTTTATGTCTTTAAATACTGTTGCAGGGGGGCTACCCCCCTGAAACCCCCCTTCCCCCCACTGTTGTTACATTGATATATATGTAAACACGACTGTCCGCTCATGTTATTGTTTCGCATTTGTGTGTTTTCTTTATTATAGTTTCCAGGGTGGCAAACCCCCTTGAACCCCCCCTCCCCACTATTGGTATGATACACGGTGGTCCACCAAAGTTAATTCCCCTGCCCACCCTCAACCATCACCTCTCGCTCACCTCGCCAGTCGCCGCTGGCTTGCGCTGCGCGCGAAGTTGCCCGCGGAACTACCTTTTGTCAGCACGTAGAGTACTATGAGTGCGTAGTTAAGCTAGGCGTGTGTAGTAATCACAGGCCGAGACGGGTGGTCCGGTAAAGTACAATCCAGCCCTCTGTCTCATAGTGGTCGCTCGTTATGGAAGTCCTCCCGTTCAGAGAAATAGTTCAACTTTATTTTCACGAAAGTTCGGAGAAATAGTCACTTCGAAAACAAAAACTGTATCGGCCACCTTTATTCTCACCCCGGGTGAGAATAGCGCAGGCGAGTCTTTTGGATATTTTCACCCGGTGTGCGTTCACCGTTATAGCCTAGATCTAGGCCAACCGATTTTGCGTTCACCCTGAACCACAGAATTCTACACTGTGATTATAACAGAAAAATTGTAGAATTCTGTGCCGTGAACAAACGTTCCATTACTACTGTTGTTAGCCTAAAAGCGTACAATTTTGTCTGTGGGCAGTGGAGAGAGAGAGAGAAAGAGAGAGAGAGAGGAGTAGCGCGAGAACTTCCGGGCAAAACAAGAAAGTGGCTATTCTCACCCGCCCGGAAGTTCTCGCAAGATCTACTCCTCCCCTCTTCTCTCTCTCTCTGTCTCTTTCTGAATACTGTCTATCGGTGTGGACGATCAAATTGACCAAAACAAAGTTTAAAAATGATGTTAAAACACAAAAGTAAATTAATTTGGTTGTCTACAAAGATGCTACGGCTATTTAACTTTTCGAATCGAGCCGAACTACGCGGGTCGCCATTTTGTTTTGTTCTCTCTCTCACTCTCTCTCTCTCCCCTGCCCACAGACAAAATTGTACGCTTTTAGTAGGCTACAAGTACAGTTGTAATGGAACGTTTGTTGACAGCACAGAATTCTACAATTTTTCTCTTATCACAGTGTAGAATTCTGTGGTTTAGGGTGAACGCAAAATTTGTTGACACGCGCACCGGGTGAGAATAGCCACAAGACCCGCCTGCACTATTCTCACCCCGGGTGAGAATAGAGGTGGCCCAAAACAAAATGGCGACCCGCATAGTTCGGCTCGATTCGAAAAGTTAAATAGCCATAGCATCTTTGTAGACGACCAAATTAATTTACTTTTGTGTTTAAACATCATTTTTTAACTTTGTTTTGGTCAATTTGATCGTCCACACCGATAGACAGTATTCAGAAAGAGACAGAGAGAGAGAGAGAACAGGGGAGGGAAGGACTTCCGTAACGAGCGACCACCCCATCAAACACAATAAAGAAGAGGCCTAGACCTATCCTTAACCCTACCCCTAACCCTACCCCTAACTCTAACCTTACCCCTACCCCAAGCCCTCAATTCTGCTCTGTCTCATAGTGGTCGCTCGTTACGGAAGTCCTCCCCAGGGGAGGAGTAGAACTTGCGAGAACTTCCGGGCAAAACAAAATGGCCACCCTCGTAGTTTGGGTCGATTCGAAAAGTGATAGCCATACTATGATGTTAGAGGCTAGCCGTACTTAATGACGGCTAGATTGGCAGTCTAGCCGTACTTATTCTTAATATGATGGCTAGATTGACCATTTACAAAAAAAATGAGGCCTACTGAATTGTAAATATACATTTTTAGTGTGCAGTACCTAAAGCATTTTTGTATTTGAGACGAAACCAGGTGCCTTAGCGGCTTAATGACAGTGTATGTATTTTAAACCTGTTTTCTAACGTTAATAGGGCTTAAGATAAGTACGGCTAGACTGGCAGTCTAGCCGTACTTAAGTACGGCTAGACTTCTTGTCTAGCCGTACTTAAGTATGGGTAGACAGCCAGGCTACTCGTACTTAAGGATGGCTAGACTGTCAGGCTAGCCGTACTTAATATTGATGGCTGAATTGTAAATGAAATTTCGAAGTGTATACAGACCCGGTAACCGGGAACAAAGTCACGAAGTATACAGACCCGGTAGGGGAACTCTTTTGTGATTTCGGGAAGTTTCAGACCTCAGACCCGGTAGAAATCTTTTGTGTGCGTGTGTGTGTGTGTGTGTGAAAGAGAGAGAGAGAGAGAGAGAGAGAGAGAGAGAGAGAGAGAGAGAGAGAGAAAGAGAGAGAGATCTTTTCTTCGGATTGTGATTCCTCCAATTCCAAAACGGAGGAAAAACCATCGTTCATCGAAACGACATCCGCAATCTTCATTTAGATCTAGGTTAGCCGCGAAACTAGATGAAAGATTTATGTCTGTCTGCCTAGATCTAGACCTAGACCATAGATCTAGAAGAACCTAGGTCTACCCTGAGCCAAGAGGGCGCTGAAACTCTCCGAAATCACAAAAGAGTTCCCCTACCGGGTCTGTATACTTTGTGACTTTGTTCCCGGTTACCGGGTCTGTTTTAGTTTGCAATGCCAAAAGTATTTTGTATTTCAGACAAAACCAAAAGGTATTTTACTGACTTGCATGTATTTGAACCTGAATAATAACTAGATCTAGATCTAATGAGACCTGTGTACTTAACAGGCTTGAGTCGATTGGGCCAAACCTAGATTCTAGATCTAGATATATCTACTAACGAAGTGATTATTCGGACTCGAGTCCGAATATGAAAAAATGTTATTCGGACTCTGATTCTTGTCCAGCATGACATCACTTCCGACTTCCTGTGACTCGTGAATCCGGCTTCCTGTCCTGCCTCACTCGTGACTCGCCTCAGGCTGGGTAGAGACCGGGATCACTTCGGGCAAAAAGGCGTTTTGTGCAGGAGCCGAGTTTTAATCTTATGATGAATTTGAGGCGAGCCTGAAAAGTTATAGCGCTTCTAATAAATGTTTATTTATCAAAAGGTCATCAGAAGCAATTAAAGATGGCTCGTTAGCATGTGTCGGGGTCGGATGGGCGGCCTGCACACGTGTGGCTGTGTGCGTGTCGGGGAGGGTGGTGGGGGGCACTATCGGTCCGGGCTTTGAACATCCCATAAGCGTCGGTCTTTTTCCCCCTGGCAACTGATCATTAATACAATAATAAGCTAGTCTTGACGTAGATCTACGTAATGAATACGTAATGAATTGTGCGCTGGTCTATGGAATCAAAAGTTGCCGTATGCTCAGCTCTACACAGCAACACAACTTTTTCTTGGTAAACAATCGATATGACACAGGCTTGTGTGTTTGAACGAATCGGTCTTTTTTTTTTTTTTTTTACACAGCTCATAATATGCCAGGTGGTCTGCTAATCTTCAATTTTACCTTTCTCTACAACAAAGAAAGTGGGAAACGTGGGGGGGGGGGGGGGGGCGTATCAATGAGGCGGCGGGCATTGGATCGGCAGATAAGGTGTGGGGGAAACTAAAAAATGGCGGAAAATTGGAAGCACTGAACGTTAGATCTATAGAACGAAGACACTTCCTTTTTTCCGGGAAAGTGGCTATTCTCACCCGCCCGGAAGTTCTCGCAAGATCAACTCCTCCCCTCTTCTCTCTCTCTGTGTCTCTTTCTGAATACTGTCTATCGGTGTGGACGATCAAATAAATTGACCAAAACAAAGTTAAAACATGATGTTAAAACACAAAAGTAAATTAATTTGGTTGTCTACAAAGATGCTACGGCTATTTAACTTTTCGAATCGAGCCGAACTACGCGGGTCGCCATTTTGTTTTGCCCGGAAATTCTCGCGCTACTCCTCTCTCTCTCTCTCCACTGCCCACAGACAAAATGGTACGCTTTTAGTAGGCTACAGTTGTAATGGTACGTTTGTTCACGGCACAGAATTCTACAATTTTTCTGTTATCACAGTGTAGAATTCTGTGGTTTCAGGGTGAACGCAAAATTTGGTGAACGCGCACCGGGTGAGAATAGCCACAAGACTCGCCTGCACTATTCTCACTCCGGGTGAGAATAGAGGTGGCCTCTTTCCGGACCCGAGTCCGAATAACATTTTTTCATATTCGGACTCGAGTCCGAATAAGAATTTTTTTTATTCGGACTCATATGAAAAAATGTTATTCGGACTCGAGTCCGAATAACGACCGCCGATACGCCAACTACTAGATCTAAGTACGGCTAGCCACTTTTTACTATGATAGCATCTTTGTCAACCATTAAATTAATATATTTTTGTGCTATAACGTAATTTTTTCTTTGCTTTTATCCATTTGATCATCCACACCGATAGAAAGTATTCCGAAAGGAAAAAATGGTCTTGTTTCACACCGGGTGAGTGTGAGAATAGCCAACGCAGGCAAGTCAAGTCTCACCCGGGGTGACCACTTCCAACTGTATCACAAAAAATCCCTCTATGCATATACGCCTCCCCTCTCCCCCATTCCGATCATCTAATCTAGATCTAGATCTAGATCTATATCTAGATCTAGACATATATCTAGTAAAGCCTACCTGGAGCCGCCGCTGCAATAGTCCGGGTTGGACTCACTTGGCTCTCACACTTTGCATTTGTGAAAAAGGGATTGCCGAACAAGTTGGTTCGACAGGCTGTTACTATTGAGTTGGACATCTTGATCTGAAAGCAAATAAAAATCACAGTTGTAACAAAGATTTATAATGTCAGTCTACAGTAATGAACATGCGACAACACTATTTATGAAAGAAAATAGCACTTGTGAATTACAATTTCAGTTTGACTCCAATGCCCTTCCCTCACCGGCGATGGCGAAAGTATAGAAAAGGTCAGATCACGTGGATACATGCAAGTCTCGCGTGAAAAAAATCCATTCCGTTAAAACGCGTTGTCAGAAATATTAGCAAAGCGCTCGCGGGTTTGACACGATTTCCATATATATTAAATTATTCTTTTAAATAATATGTGAATGAATTCAGTTGCAAACGATTTGATATCAAATTGTGTGTATCATCTAGGACCAAGGTTCTGTACCAATTCATTTGGTTCACACAAACATTGAACATATATGAAAATAAAGGTACAGCCTGGTGGATTTCGATACCTCGAGATAGAGAAGGGGAAAAAATGGTAATTGAGATAATAATGTAATTATTTACTATTGCCTTTGACTCATCTAATAGAGCGCCATGATCTAGAAATAAAACATGACGCTAGAGTTTGGATGAAATGTGTGAATCACCCGTACTTAACTGTTATAATTCAGATTGTAAATTCAAACATCTTGAAAAACAATATATTATATCTTTATAATTTAAACTACACACATGTGTATATATAATATTCAGTCTCGAAATTTATGGTCCATAACAATAAAATACAACTTACGACTGTGTCTTGAAGAATTTAAAAATTGAAGATAGGGCCTTTTCGACAGACTATTGCTTTAGTATGGAATTCGGGCACACATTACCATATTATTATAATATTTAAAGAGAGGCATCTATTTATGGGCCTATATATGTTTTACACGTTGATTATATTTTAAAAATGGAACAAGACACATTTATTTAAAGCAAATTAAAGCAGATTGGTTCAATTCTTTTTCCTACGACAATTGTGATCAGCAGCCCTGGTTATTCTGATAAGCCGCCCTTTTGTGTCTTTTTTCAAATCTAAGTGCATTATAAAGCCCAGTGTTTGAAAGCATTGTTGTACAGTAAATGCAGGTTGATATGCATGAAATGTGTCTTTGCATAAGCTGTTGAACTTTTAATTTATTGTGAATACTCCTAGAGCCGGTGGAAGTGGGTGTTTCAGAAATCTTTATTCAATATTCTGATCTTGAAATCAATCGCTATTATCATAGTGCTCTAGGTTACAGGCCTATAATTTGAAAACACTTGTGACTGCATCAACATGCCACACTCCCACATCGAGAGATTCTCTTCCCAGTTCGTTTATGCATAGTATGGTTGCACTATATCAAAATAATAAATAAATAAAAGGAGAAGAAAACGAATGCTTTTCACATTATATGCAACTTTCGTGCGTGGGTGTTGAAACAAGCTTTACAAAACGCTATAGTATCGAGCACGCCCATTTGAGTTTCCCAGATTGGGCTTTTTCGACAGACTTTTGACGAATACATTCTGGGCCTTGTTATTTTTTGTTGTTTTGTTTTGGGTTGTTGTTGGGGGGGTAAATTTTGTAACAAACCTCTGGCAAACTAAGGAAGAAAAAGAATCACAAGATCTTCCAAAGAACTAGTTAACAAGCTTGAAAAAGAAGGAGAAATGAACAATCGATTTCCAACGGTCCTTTCTGTCCCTGCTGAGGGTTAGCGTGTACATTACATTAGCGAGTAGTGATCAAATTGTGTGTTATGAGCCTTGGTCGATTTAACTTAGAAAGCCTAGATCTAGGCCTTGGTCTGCCCCTGAAGTAATTTTAAGTTTTCATATTCTGTAAAAATCAACATTTTAAATTAAATTTTAAAGGCATAAAATGTTGAATACGCTACAGAATCATGTTTTCTATTCAACATATAAAACGCTGATCTCAGTACACTTCATTCAATGTAGCCAGCGGTCAAACACAATCGATCAATGCATTACCATTATAATACAATACATGTATATTCATATGACCATGTCTTCCATCTCTGGGGGCTCTCGTGGCCTAGAGGTTAAGGTGTAGGCCTCTCATTCAAAGGTCCCGGCTTCGAATCCGGGTAGCGACCAAAAAATTTTCTTCTCTCTTAAATAGTCTTCTTTCACCTCCTTTCCTGCTCTCTAGCCTAACAATGTTCTGTTGTCTGCTTTCATTTCCACTTTCTGCCCCCACCCCTTCGCCTCCTTTGCCCCCTCCCCTGGGTTCCTGACTCTGTCTTTCTGCAGCCTTTCTACTGCTGCTCCTTGGCTCCTCCTTACTGCTGTCTTTCTGCCACACCCCTGATCTCCTGGTAGGAAAGATCTACACCTAGCCTTCTCGGACAAGGGCGAAAAATCTCGGAGGGCCCGTGTGCAAGTTGCGCACGTTAAAGATCCCTTGGTGGTCTAAAATCGATGAGTAGGCTTCGGCCGCCACCTGGGCAAAATTCAAAATTTCCTACCAACTGAAAATATTAGGTGTGTCCCGCGCGCTCATGTGACCTTATGCAGTTGCGAGCGCCGTAAAACACTTTACAAAAAACAAAAACAAACAAACTTCCATCTCTTTGTTCTCAGTTCAATCCGTCTGGAAGATGGGAACGATCGATAAGCTTTCACCTCCAAATTTCTCTAATTAAGTTTCGTCTGATGAAAAGGTCGCCTCAGTGGTTTGATATAAGTAACTCGTGTTAAATCTCAGCGGCACCAAAGATAGTGCGGCACCAAGGAGTTTAGAACTTTTAATCTCCTTGTGCGGCACACAACAACAAATTAGTGATGGGCCGATACCACAATTTAGGTATCGATATCGATATCTAGTATTTGTTCAAGGTATCGATACCGATACCTCGATACCTAATGCTGTTAGTAACATACGCCAGGGGTGATAAATAAAGACAAAAATACAACTATACTTTTCCAAGGATTCAGGTAATCATGTCTAGACAAGTTGTGACTATTTAGCTGAGACTCAAACAAAAATTATTTGTAAAGGAGAGAGAGAGAAATATATACCCAAATATGAGAATAAAAACAAAGGAAGTGGTTATTCGCACAGGGTGTGCGCATAAGAATTAATATTATTCGCCACCGGGTGTGCACATAAGAATTAATATTATTCGCACTGGGTGTGCGCATAAGAATTAATATTATTCGCACTATGTGTGCGAACAATGATAGTACATAACAAGATGGTTCACTCAGCCAAAAAAGTGTCCGCAGGAAGTATGCTCTTTGCTTCAGATGGCGCTGCAGTCTGTTTTGAAGCTCTCTTTCGTTTTTCCAGAAGAAGAATAGGAATAGCACCTTCGTGCGTGCGCAGATCGACTGCTGTTCATCAGCAGTTCGGGTACGTTCAGTGCGTAGTTTTAGGGTTTTTTAAATTTTAATGACCTCTCGCCTTTCATTCTAAAGTCAAATTAAACGAAGAAAACCATCACCCTTTCCTCCGGAAAAGGTTTTTTGTCAGCGTAACCATTTTAAAAAAAGCGTTCTTCCGAAATTTATCCCAAAACATGCTAGTTTCACTTTGATTTTTAAAAACTCAAGTAGGGTAACTCTGTTCGCAAAGAGTGCGCTTTTGTGAAGAGGGCGCCACCAAATTTTGAGGACACTTTTTTAATTGGCTCAAAGAGAGAAGTGGCCCATCTTGTTATGTACTATCATTGGTGCGAATAAGAAATAATTATATTCGCACAGGGTCGACCCGACCAGCTCGCTGCGCGAGATCGTTGCGCGCTGCGAACGCTGTGCGAGATTGGCAAATGATGCGAGAGTCCGCGAAACTAGGCGGTCTTGGCCTATATAATAAAATAAGCTTACTTGCGTGGCATGGCATTTTCATTTTTCAAAACAGAGCCCTGGGGGAACCTTGCCAGTAGCGTTCTGTTGGCCCCAAGGCTATTGCATCGCAAATCTGAAATTACTCAACACCTAGTTTTAGTTTTTTCTAGATCTTGTTCTTGTTCTTGTTTCAGGAAGCAACATCCTTGCACTCCGGACATGTCCATTGATGCTCCGTTGCTCTCTCCAAAATGCTGCCGAGGGTCCTTCTAGATCTATTCAGCATGGAAGTGTGAGTCCAAGTTCAAAAGCTTTTCAGAGTTCACAGAGGCTCTGAAAGAGTATGAAAGTACCACAGAATTCTACACTAATTCTGTGGAAAGTACTAATAACACAAAATTTGTGGTGACACGATCCACCAAAATTGGCCAAACAGACCCCTTGAGTGCTGTTTACGTGTACCAGTCGATCCGGTTCCAGTGCAAGCAGGGGCAACGCCACCATTATTGTATTCTTTAAATTAATAAACAATTTTAAAAAAAATTTTTTTAAAGTGACCCTGTACAGGTTCTATCTAAATGTACACATGTGCACATAATTTTGGTTGACGGCAGCTTGAGGGGGGGGGGGTGTCCTGGGAAAGATGACAAGAGGGGTGGGGTCAATTGTGAACAGTCCTTAAAAGTAAAACTGCAATCATTCGGCCATGAATACTATGATGTATTACTACAGAGTTACTACATAAAGTTGATTTTGGACCTCATTTGTCACACCTTTAGTTTTAGGCAAAGGGTTTTAATTTTGGAAAGCACTGGGAATAGGCCAGAATTGTTCCCAGTGTCACTGGGATGAGGCCAAGAAACAATTCCCAGTGACACTGAGAACAGACAAGCCCATTAGATATCTAGATCTATTGTTCCCACAATGATCTACCTGGGCATGATGATGATGGGTTACTAAATACTAGACTATACACAAGTTGTTGTTTTTTTTTAATCTAATGTAGATCTAGATATTTACATGTACATTAGATCTAGATCTAATACGGATTTTGGAGACTACGGTACAGGACAGGTAAAAATCCTTCCCGATTCTCCATTTCTTCTAGAATCTAGGCTACGGTCAAGTCTTAGCCCAAGTAAGCGAAGAGAAGAAAAGTCTGAAATTGATTGAGAAGAGAGCCTACAGTACACGTTAGAAACGAATCTAGATACCTCCACCTTGTCTCCCCCTCTTTTCACTGGTCTGGTAAACTTCACCTGCGCCTCTATCGTCTCTCATTAGTCTCATGGTACCTCTTAGGCCTAGCCTAGGCTGGCAATGTGGGTCCACTGAAGTAAAGTTCTTGGGCAGAGCAAACTATAAAATGTTCCTGGTCCACTTTTCTCTGTTCATTATTTATTATAATTTATTTGCATGTGGCTGCCCCCCCCCCC